CCTTCCTCTTAATTACTGCCTAAAATGTAATACATGGTCGATGTTTTTTAAATTATGTAAGTTTTAAGAAAATCAGTAATATTTATGTCTATGCTTCTGAAACTATATCTGAAGCTATATTAATAGCTATTAATAAATTAGCTTATGCTTTGTTAAATGTATGTAAGGGAATGTATATTGCAATATACATATATAAATAGCATGCTTTAAACAAAAAGTTAAACCTACATATTTATTGTTCTGCGCATTGAATCCAAGAAAATATTTCAATCTTTTAAATTTACATTCACTTTTTTCTTTGAAATATATTTAAACATATTAATCATATTATTTTTCTAAAAAGATATTAATTTAGATATTGTCAATGAAAGATACATATTTTAATGAAAGATAAAACTTTTTTACAGTTTACGCAACAAATTGAAGACAATTGGAGCCAATTTACGCAATAAATTGAAGAAAATCGAAGATAATTAAGAAAATCAAAGTCAGAAGAGAAAAGATGCAATGATTAATAAAATTTTATTATACGTTACATTTTCAGTCATTTATTTTTCTTAACAAACGTTTAAATAAAACTTTGTAACTTATTTATTCAAATAAATATAAAGTACTTATAATATTAGTATCACAAATTTAGTATCAAATTTTGATTTATAATAGATATTTAGAGAATAAATAACGTATTTATTCGCAATTTGACATTAATTAAATTTGTCTTTTTTCTCATAGTCATTTATAGTAATTGGACACAAAATTTGAGAAAGATAATTGATAATGTATTGCAATTCTCCTTTCTTAATTCTCTCTTCATATAAGTAAATATTGTTACAATTTCATCAAATTTGTTGCGAAGTATTTCTTTTTCATCATATCCAGTTCTTTTTTATTATATCCGGTTTTATAAAAAGACAAATAGTATTGGATCTATCAAGCTAGAACAGTCTAATTTTAAGAGATAAAAGTTACAAAATAATAAAGAAAAGTTTTAAATAAACTCATGAGAACAGATCTTATTAATCGATTTCCAACTTATTAAATAGTTTACTGTTTTATTACTATTATGAAACATAAAAGCTCTTATTGACTTTTTTTACCATTTAATAAAACAAAGGTATTATCACATATAAAAATATATAAAAATAATAATATATAAATGTGTAAAAAATAAAAATATATAAATGTGTAAAAATATGAATATTTAATGTTTATAATACTAATATGAATATTTAATGTTTAACACTAATATTTATTGAAATTAATGCTTTAATACAAATAATTATTAAAATAAAATTATAAGAAAATACATAAAAATGATTAAATTTGATACGCAGAAAAATGATACATATGCAAAAGCAAAATACAACATAAGCAAGCACATTCTTAAGGTTAATATATTCTCGTTGTGCAAATTTTTTAAATGTACCATATATAAAAATGCAATAAAATATAATTAATGACTATTTCTTATGCAAGCAAATAAAATATATACAGCATAAAAATTACATCAATCTTTTGTACATGCTATTAGACTTACACAATGGACAATATAATTTTATCAATCCTGTTTCGTTTTCGTTATTATTTAAGCGTAGTGCACATTTGTAACAAAATATATGTCCGCAAAGCGCAGCACCTAGAGATTCGGACATAATCTCATCTCTACATATCGGACACTCTAAATCCTGCATATTATCATCTAACTTTATGTGTCGACGATTACACTTTGTTCGTTTGCAAATGTTTTTCTTGAAATCGCCATATATATCTGAGTTTTGTAAAGTTCGGCCGACTTCCCTCTTGAGATTTTCTGTTGCTTTCCCTGTCATTTCATAGCGATACTGTTTCACAATAGCACAATGTAAGTATGGGCATTTCTTTACTCTGCATTTCGTGTTCTGGTAGTTGTAACAATATCTGTATGTGTGGACAGAACCGCAATCCAAATTCGTGCAACAGCATTTTTCAAAATTTGTGCATTTTTGCATGTTGTTTCCTAAAACATTTTTGGTACATTAATTTATAAGGACATAAAAATAAAACAGAATCCTATATAACTTCAAAACATTAACTTTAAGGTTTAAACTTATAACATATTATAATTATTTAATAAGAATATAGATAAGATTTATAATAACCTTGATAACCATAGAACGACATTTTCACAATAATATCACTTGAGCACGTATATTCTATGATTATTATTTAATATTTATATTTTTATATAATTTATAAAGTTAGATAGCATATATTTATATTCGAATTATACGTAAAAGTAAAATACGACATAAGCAAAATGTACAACACAAGCGAGGTGCACTAAGGCTGGTTTTTCAATAGGTGTCGTAGGTCGAATGTCAGAAAAGTTAACCAATCACAGTTGATTTTAAAGAAGAATAATCGAATACAATTGGTCAACTCTTACGACACTCGACTTACGACAGCTATTGTAGAATCAGACTAAAGCAATAGCTATATGCGGCGAACGCAGACTTAAAATTGGATGCATTCAGAAAACAAACCGCTTACTGAGCACTCAGTGATTCTTAATTGTAATTGGTTGCTGCATTTGGATCTAAGTGCAGCAATCAATCACAATAAAGAATCACTAAGCGCTCACTGATCTGTTCTCTCTGCTTAACGTAGCCAATTTTATGCTATCTATTTCCGTGTTTACGTCACATACACTATAGATTTTTAGTACTGGCAGAGAAATATGAACACAGAGCTAATTGGCTGAAGGGAGTTTAAAACTAGAGATAATCTTTAATATAAGACAAGTTTATGAATGTCGATCTAGGTCTTATCACATAACGGCGGCTCATCTTGGCTAAGCTTTTCGACACATTCTTTTCGTCGGATCCTCGTGTACCGGATATTAACCGATCATTTCCGACCATTATCTCGTTGATATGCATATCGGTTCCTTCAATTCTTTGTACTTGTGTGAACGACAAGTAAACCCTGTTCTGTAATTTGTATTGCGTTGTTCCTAACCAAATTTGCGTATATCTAAAATATTCACGTTAAAGAAACCGAACGTATATCATCTTATAAAATTTTTCTTAGACATCCATTTTTTACTTGCTTAATTTTTCTAGTTTTTCGAATAGCCTCACTAATTTGTATACAATAAAGCCGCAAATTAAATTAATTACGAATTTGACCTATGAGCATAGACAAATAATTAAATGTTCAATAAAAAGAAATGAAGTAAAAATTAACACGGTATATACATAACGACGCTCATATCATCACGTCCTTTTGTCGTAATGCTGCTTTTGTTTTAACGTACTGTGCAATATCTTCGAGTACTGTTTCATCGTGCATTTCATTATATGTATCATTTTATTACTGTACCAGTACTTCTCTTGACTTTCTAAACATATATGTACAACATAAAGATGAGCTAAAGCTGATCTTATATATAGCAATGAATCGCTGTCCGCTTGAAATATATGTGGAGGAACGTTTCCCGCGCAATTTTCCCGCCGTATATAGCTTAATCTTTCTTTCATATCGTTACGTGCTCATAATATAATTCTCTTATTGTAATATCGCTTTTGTTGTAATTACCGTTCTGACATAATATCTACAAGTACTAATAATTATATAATTGAAAAAAACATATCAAAATTGCAAGTAGTATCGTTTTCCATCACATATTTTTGCCTATCGTTTACATTTCGTTATCAACGTAAGAGTACATAATGGTAGAAATTTTATATTTGTTACGTGTTAATGTGTTCAATTCAAGTTATAAATAAACGTGTAAAGAAAGACACGTTATTTTACTCGTACAAATTAATTTTATCGTGCATTTCATTATATATATTTAATCATTATGTCGTTAATATTTCTGTAACGTAGCTCTGTAAACATGTTTATAGACTAAAATTCCTCCGACCAAGATTTGTCTTACATTCAATCTCTTTTTAAGTCTAGTTTTAGGTCATCTTAAGACGTTCATCTATCGAGAATATGGCTGGAATAGAAACTGGCTGGTTAGAAACTTAATTAAGTCTATCTGTAAGGCTCACCTATGAATTTCAGTTTCATAGAATTATTGACAAAATAATTTGCAAATATTTAACTGTAAATGATTTTGTGATTATCCAATACCATATGCTGCAATGTAAATAGTACAATTTTTTAAAACTATTATTTAGTTGTAATATCCCACACAGCACATGTAAATTCCGAGAATGTTCTGAGAATATCACAAAAGTATATTGCGTATGTTCTAGGAACATTCGAAATACATACTGCGATATACTGAGTATGTACTAAGAATGCTACTATGTCCGATTTTTCCTACTTCTCAGTACATACTGAAAATATCTTTTAGTATATAATAAGTATATCTATAGAATGTCTTGAGTATGACATTGGTATATACATAATATGTACTTATAATGTACTAATAATATACTCAAGATATTCTATAGATTAACTTATATTTTATATATAAATATAAATGATATATGTTACCGTAAACACCCCATATCCGTTTTTTCATACTTATTAGTAAAAATATGCAAATTTTGACTACTAATAATAAGTATACAGAAAAACAGATTTTGAATGTTTACAGTACATATATATAATCCATTTATATTTATATACTATATATATAAATGGATTATAGGTGTAAAATATTGACATTTTGTTCACATATAAAATCTTTTTATTCAAATTTCTTAAATGCTTAAGAACAACTCATACTGCAACAGTATGAGTACGTGAAGATACGTGAAGAACAACAATCTGCAACAGTATGAACCTCATAATCATTTTGTCTCAAGTCAATAGCTGTATTTTCTACGCAGACATGTGTTTCGACGCCTATGAGTATAATGGAGTCTGGTTTTTTTCCAAATATGTTATAATATTGCACATATATACATATTAATAAAAGAAAACTTATTAGAACAAAATTGTGCATAATTTGAAAAATGAATAAATCTAAAAAAAAGCTACTTAAATTTGAAAAATGAATAAATCTAAAAGAATATCTACTTAAAATAAAAAGGACGGATAATCATCATTATAAACGTTATCAACAATAACTCAAAACAAATTATAAATTATAAAGATTCAAGAAAAGACAAGAAAAACTCAACGAAGTACTAGTTTAATCCTTTTCACTATTCAATGTTTGTCTCTGCATACGCTCTTTGGCATGAGCCAACCATATTTTTATTGGAGCTGAAATCTGTTCATCTGTAGCATTAATGTGCAATTTTCTTACTGCACCTGAAAAAGTTTTTAAAATTGTTTGTGAATTATTGATAAATAAAATTTCTTTAATTTTTTTTTATTTTTAAGTTATAAAAATTGAAAAAAAATTTCGACTTGATTTCTACAATATATCTATACAGATGAGCGTTTAAACCTATTAATATATAATAAAACAATTGAAACATTTCTAAGTAATTTAATAAATAAATAAGTTATAAATATTTGTAAATATATTTTTTGATTTGTGCAGAAATTATACAGCATCTAATAATAAAATAGAAAAATTGTTTTTAATTTTACTTACTCATAATAACTTTGCATATGTGCAATTTGGAAAAATTTTCTTTCTTTTTTGCTCCGTACCAACTATAATTTACGGCCAGTTCATTTGCAAAAATTATTTTCATAAGACGTATACAAGAAGTCCTCAGATCCTGGCATGTAACATGGACTAATTGTTTAACCTAAAATTGTTACAAAGAATGGAATTATTAAATATATAGATATTATAAGAAACTTTTATATAATAAAATTATCTATTCACATGTAAAAATACTGTAAATATATATCAATTTAATTATTCTAAAAATTATATAATATTTTAATAAAAAGTCTACGAAACTTATTAAAACATCTTTAAAAAGACATGATATAATTTAAAAAATAATATATAAAATTGCTAATGAGAGCAAAAGTTATAAATGTAAAAAAAATTTAATAATATTCAGATATTTATTAAATGATAAATGTTTCAGCCCATTTCCGACCATTCTCTTTATAAAAATAATTTAAATTAAAAATTAAACAAAAATATATAATTATCAAACGACATACTTTTATACCAGCATGCACCGAGATTTTTACTATATACTATTTTCTAACATATGTAAATAATCGTGTACTTTCTTTAATGCTAATTAATTGTAAAATTAACGCTTGTGTTCTGACTTCATATTCAATAATAATTTATATATTTTTTTATTTCTAGATTAAATATTGTTTTGAGAGTGGCCCAAAAACATTTATCATTAAACAAATACCTGAATATTAATTATTCTTTTTATTATTTAACATCCATTAACAATTGTGTGACTCTCATTAGTCGTTTTATATTATTTTTGAATTTATTAGATTTTTCTTATTTTTGTATATAATTTCATATTGTAACGTTAAAATACACAAGACAATTAACTTACCATTTCATTTCGATATAATGAATCATTATTTAATTTGTTTTCCATTGATTGTAAATCAGTTTCAGTTTTTAACGGTAAATCTTGATAGATATCTATTGTTTCTTTTTTTTTGGCTTCAAAAGTGTCGATTGAAATTTTCTTTAGAATAAGTTTTTGACATCTTTCTATAGAGTTTAGTTTTAATTCTAAACTTATAAGTTTATGGATGACAAATCGTTCGTACGGTTCAGATTCTATAAAAAATATTCAAAACATTTTGATTATATTTATAATTATATCTCAAACACAGCATGTATTTTCAAAAAATGTATAGAATAGAGAACAGGACGTTCTCTAAACACATTTTTTCAATATATGTACTATTAAAGATATATGTACAGATAAAATATTAAATATAAAAAATGTAAAATACATATGTGTGATGTAAGATGTATAAAAATAAAATATAAAATCTATATAATATATTAAAAAATATAAAAATGGTGTTAGAAAAATGTTAGGAAAAATAGTTCAAGAATAAATGTGTGGGTGTGTATATACTATATAATTCTGAACTATAATCAAGTAATTGAAATAGAAATAAAGAATTATACATATACACTAAAATATATTATATATATATATACAGGGTCTACCAAAAGTGTGGAAACCCCTAAATATCTCGGAAAATATACGTTTTACAGAAAAGTGTTTCCAACAAAAGTTGTAGGGTTTAAGAAGATCTATATACTGATTCTATCAGTTTGACCTTGGATGGCGTCGTCAAGGTCAGGTCAAGGTCACATTGACTTTTTTAAATGACACCCCCTACATTTGATTGCATATTCTTATAGCTTAATTCAAGAGCTTTCCAAAACACTATAATAATGTTCATTTTTATTAAGTACTTTGCGAGTTATGAGGGTTGAATGATAGAGTAGCGCCGGTATTAACATTATCCAAGGTGTACTACATGGAGGTTACTCGCTCGGATTTGCATCTGTTGTGTGTGTGATCCAGCTAACTAAGGCAAGATCGATCGTGGATCCAGTCAGCAAAAGCAAAGACCCAACCAAATTACAATCGAGCATTTAAAGACCTGGAAAGCAATCGACATAGTAAACAGTAAATAAATTTGTGGATGCTCATTTATCATAATAATTGTTCGAAATGTGTGCGTGTGCGTGCGTGCGGTGCGTGTATACAGAGATCAGGTTAGGTTGCACCAAACGATTGCAAATGTGTTTCAATGTGTTAAAGTAAATGCTGAAAGTGGCTGCCATTTACTTCCTGACAATATGCTAATCTTTGGTAGAATGTAGAAATGACTTTACGATTCGTTTCAAAAGGTATCAAAGCCATTTCATCCCTTATTCGCTGTATCAATTCGTGAATGGTTTTAGGTTTTGTTCTGTAAACCTTACTCTTCAGATATCCCCATAGATAATAATCAAGAGGAGTTAGATCTGGTGACCGAGGTGGCCAATCCTCTCCTCCCTCATTTCCGTTCCTTCTTCCTATCCACCGTAGCGGAAAAGTCTCATTTAAAATACGACGTGGTCCTGCACCAAAATGAGCAGGAGCTCCATCATGCTGAAACCATATTTCTTGGAAATTATTTGGAAAAGTATTCTGTATGGCTGGAATTATTTGATCAACAAGTAATCTCTCATACCTTTGAGCGTTCAAATATTCTTCAAAAAAAAACGGCCCTATTAAATAGCCATCTATTATTCCGCACCATACATTTATTTTTTGTGGATGTTGTGTGTGAGTTTCCCGCACCCAATTCGGATTCTCATCTGACCAGAAACGAAAATTTTGATTATTAACTTCTCCCGTTAAGGTAAAAGTTGCCTCGTCTGTGAAAACAATTTGATAAGGGAAGATGGGCCGGACATCTATTAGTGCCATCATTCTTTCACAGAAATGTATACGACGCTCCTCATCTCCGTTTTGCAATTCTTGAACGTATTGCAATTTATATGGATGGAACTTGTTCTTCTTTAAAATTCTCCAAACCGACATGGGAGCAATATCGTGAGTTTGAGCGACTCTCTGAACACTAGAATTGGGATCTTCAATAAATGTCTGCAGAACATCAAGTTGTTTTTCTTCGTTGGTTGCAGACAATGGTCTTCCTGACTTAGAGCGATTTCTTACGCTACCAGTTTGTCTAAAACGTTCTATTGTTTTTAACACAGTGGACTTATTAATTCGACGGTTCGGATACGTGTCATTAAATAATCGAACGACATCAGAGAACGATCTTTCGTTATCACCCCATCCACGCATCATGAGGATAGTGATTCTTTCACGTTCCGACAAGTCGCCAGCCATTTTTAAAACGTTTAATTTTAATTAATCGTACGTTGTATTTGGACGATAACAATTAATTTCTGCTTGCTCAAAGCTGAAGTTAGAAGGTGCTCGTTCTTTGATAGCTTTATACATTCTTAGTTGAATTTTAAATGCGAGTTAGACTGCATGTAGTGCGTCACATAGCGGTAAATGAAGGAACTAACGAGACGTTTCATACACGTTTTATGGAGCAATTTTTTGGCAATTTGACTTCAGCGAAATATGAGGATATGTTGAGGAATCGATCTTGCCTTAGTTAGCTGGATCACACACACAACAGATGCAAATCCGAGCGAGTAACCTCCATGTAGTACACCTTGGATAATGTTAATACCGGCGCTACTCTATCATTCAACCCTCATAACTCGCAAAGTACTTAATAAAAATGAACATTATTATAGTGTTTTGGAAAGCTCTTGAATTAAGCTATAAGAATATGCAATCAAATGTAGGGGGTGTCATTTAAAAAAGTCAATGTGACCTTGACCTGACCTTGACGACGCCATCCAAGGTCAAACTGATAGAATCAGTATATAGATCTTCTTAAACCCTACAACTTTTGTTGGAAACACTTTTCTGTAAAACGTATATTTTCCGAGATATTTAGGGGTTTCCACACTTTTGGTAGACCCTGTATATATATATATATATATATATATATACCGGGTGAGTTTCTTAACCTGAGACTGCAAAATATCTGAAAAACTAAGGCTTCTATCAAAAATGTTTCCTACAAAAGTTGTATGGCTGCAAGGGGGCCATAAGATAGTGACAATGATTTTACCTTAAATAGTCAGTTGAAGGTCATGTGAAGGTTCCCGTCAATTTCTTAAATAGAACTACCTATTTTCCATTGCATATTCTTGTAGCTTATCTCAAGAGCTTTCCAAAACCCTATAATAAAGTATTTTTTCATTATAGGGTTTTGGAAAGCTCTTGAGATAAGCTACAAGAATATGCAATGAAAAATAGGTGGTTCTATTTAAGAAATTGACGGTGACCTTCACATAACCTTCAACTGACTATCCAAGATCAAATCATTGTCACTATCTTATGGCCCCCTTACAGCCATACAACTTTTGTAAGAAACATTTTTTGATAGAAGCCTTAGTTTTTCAGATATTTTGCAGTCTCAAGTTAAAAAACTCACCCGGTATATATAATCGTAACTAAAATAAATGAAATTATGTGCATTATACCTTGCTTATTAATCAATGAATTTGATGATGATGCCTTGTTTTTCAATTGAATTGGCATGTTTGCATTAACTTCATCGACTTCATCAAACAATTGTTCCGCGGATGCATCAAGCACATTTCCATTGCAATGCAGAGCTAAAAAAATACGTCGTTATATTATTCCAGCATAAGTTTTGAAATTGAAAAAATACTAAAAAAAATTATTTTTAAAAAATATTATATTTTTAAAATATATAAAAAATAATCATAACAAAATAAATGAAATTGTGCATTGTACCTTGCTTATGAATTGATAAATTTGACGATGTTTTATTTTCTAGTTGAATTGGAAATTGTACATAAACTTCATCGTCGGTTTCATCAAACGATTGTTCTACCGGTGCGTCAATCAAATTTTTATTGCAATGTAAAGCTGAAAATAAAATGTATAATAAAATTTTTATTAAATTATAAATGTTTATATAATAGTTTAATAATTATAATGAATAAGTTAAAATCATACATGAATCATCTGTTCCTTTTTCTATATTTGTGTTTATGTTTGCAAACTTCTTTATGTTGCTTCTTTGTGTTGCTGTATATTTTCTTTCCAAATTATTAACATCTGTAATTCATAAACGATGTTCTATTATTAAAATATTTTCTCTATTTAAATCTATTATTGTTATTTTTATATTATTATTAGATCGTACTTACTTTTTGATGCATTTTCTGTAATTTTTGATGTTTTACTGGTTTCTGCAGTCATCGAATGCTTGTTTGGAAACTTTGGAATTTCTGAGACTTGTATCATTTCGTCTAATGATTCATCAGTATCGTTACTTGTTTCGTCAACAATTTTAGCGGCTCTAATTTTTCTCGACCTTTTTAAATTTTCTTCTATATCAGGGCCAGAGTTAATGTCGGATAATTCTTCGGCATCTTTTAACTTTTTCCTTGCCACTCCATAGTTTTCTGAAAAAAAATTTTTAAATAAAACTTAGTAAATAATACAAATTTAATTTAATTAATTTAATTTAATTTAATTTAATTATATTTTCTTATATTACAAAATAGCTACATATATATAATGGCGGCCAGCTATATTTAATATATCGTAATTACGATTTTAACATAAAAAATTGAAATTTATGAAATGTGAGACATTAATTTTTTTAAAGGAATCTTGTTTAAAAAAATAAATGGTTCACATTTCATAAATTTCAATTTCAAACAGTTGGTCACCACTGTATATTTATTGTAAAAGAATATTTCAGAATAATATATACAAAAAAAATAACATTACTTACGAAATGTTCCATATATTTTTCGAATAGGATGCTCCAACCAAGTATATTCTGGCTCCTCCCTCAATTTAACTGCTTTATCATACCGCTTGTTGTTTGTAAAATTTGGCCAAAAAGCTTTCTTTAAGTCTCCACTTAACCAATTATTTGGTATAATTTGTAGTCCATCTTCGAATTCCACGATTGCATAAAATTTATCAGTCATTTCTGTGTCAATGAATATTAATTACTTCATTGTGTATTAATGGAAAAACTGCGTATTTAACATTTTCATATGGTAATTTGACATATTTTTTTATCACATTTTTCAATGGCCATGATTTCAAATCTGATAATGATTTTACGGAATAAACCCCAAGCAATGATGATGAGCAAGGCATATTAAATAAATCTTCCTTTTCCAAAAATTCGCGTCCAATAATAATTGGAATATTCTGTTTTTTGCAGTGTGCCACGTTTTCAATACATACTATAGCACCGCAATTCAAACCACAACAATTATCTGCATGTGAGCCAGTTTTAAATGTTATTCCGTTGACATATTTGATAATTTTATATTGTGGATTATTGCAGTCAAGTAAAAGTGGACCATCATCATGTAATGTAATTAAAGTGGGATATATCAGGATAGAATCTGACAAATTAGTCAATGTACTTAATCTATTTGATGTACTTAAATTTTCTTTTTCAATACATCTTCGTATTACTTGTTCCAAAGGTTTTTCTGCTTTTCTGAGGTATTTTTTAAACACTTGCATGTGATTCTCAAATCTAAACGCACTAAAATTGTCGAGTGGTCCAAATTTTTTTACATCGTCAACAAGATGTATGAGACTATGAATATTATGCGACACGTTTTGTACTCCATAAATCTTGATAAATGTTTTGATAAAAAAACGAATCATATCTTGTGCATACGATAAGTGTTCATCATACAAAGTTTTTGAACACAAGACTCTAATAATAACATGCAATGTCATAAAATGGGTGTACACACTTTTTTTCAATATTGAGTTGAAAGCCAATGGACCTGTATACAACAATATTTGTCTATATTCCGTAGCTTTCCATAATTTAATGTAATCTAATTTCCGTGGCTTTCTTACGAATTCTACAGGTATCGATGGCTTTAATTGAATTGTTAGACGTGTTGATATTTCTTCAATGGCTCTATGTTGTAGCCGATAATAGAATTCTCCATTCAACCATAAATACATTAATTTCCGCATAATTCCCAAACACACTAGGTGCATATAATCCATGGGAACATTTGTAACTGGTTTGAAATGAGGTATTTTGAGTAGACTGCATGTTATATCTGGTTTATGATAACTGTCATCAATTTTGTTAATAAAATCATTATCTGATCTAATTGGTGCATCAATTTGTGGGAAGCATATACGATTTCCGACATATTCTCCTTCTGTTGTGCATTTAGTGCAACTGGAATATCCGGAATGCCCTTTTACACATAGCATAAATGCTTTTGCCGGTGTATCACATATTAATGCTTCTATTCTGCATTGTATATTACGATTATTGATATATATTCCATTTTCACACATTTCTGCAGCCTCGTTCACAAAATCACTTAAAAAATCATTAACATTTGCAGGTTTTTCAGTTCCATGATAAATTCCTATTGTAAATACATTATTATATGGAAAAATTGAACCAAGTATGGGCCAAAATTGTTGTTGCGATGATTTTGAGAGTGGTAATCCATCGACATTAATAGCAATTTTTATACTGCTTCCAATATTGTTTTTCATGGAGGTTAATATATTCAACATAGACTTTTGCAATCCAAAATGATAGTAAATTCCTGGCTGTACTATACGTATATCTTGTTTTCTCGGAGTTTTCAAAAGTGAACGTGCATCTAGAGATAATGATGAAAAACATGAATGTTTTTTTAATCTTTGAAGTAATGCTTTTAAAGCCGTATGTGAAATTTGATGTTGCACAGCCCAGATAGCAAGATCATTTTTCAAATTGTCACCTGTTACATCTGCATCTTCAGATGCTAAATCAGTTTGCGATTCATAAGAATCGCTAACAGAGGACTGTTGGCATGTTCAATACATTGTTACTACTTTCGTTCCACTCGTGAACATTATAATTTTCGATTACAGCATTTTCAGCAGCTTGAATGTTTTTTACTTCTGAATTTACTTTAGAAACGTTTTCCAAATGTTCTGTGTATTTATAAGTAATGTTACTATATGACACTGTAGTCGTATTTAATAAAGCATCGTAAACAATTTTGGATTCTTGTACGGCTAATCTTTTTAAATGTCGTTTTGACACACATGCAGCGTCTTTTCTTGAACGCTTTTTATCCATTTTTTTTCTTTTCTGTTAACATATTGAAGCTGATAAATATATTAACTATAATATATAATTTAATATTTAATTATTACGTCGATATTATATATACACACACACACACACACCACACACACACACACACACACACACACACACACATATATATATATATATATATATTATACATATATATTAATAAATTGATATTATAAAATAAAATATTGCTGTTAAAATTATCAAAATATAATATTATTGGTAAAATTGTAATTATACAGGGTGTCCTATTTAAAAGAATACATTGGAATATCTGAAGGGAAAGTATTTTAGAGAAAAATATTTCAAACAAAAAAATTGTATCGCTTCAAGAGAGATATAAAATAGTGAGCAAAATTTGATTCTTTGGATAATTCTTTGAAGGTTACATAAAGGTCAATTTCTTAAATGGGTTTTACTATTATATTTTTTACTGAATATTTTTGTAGCTTACCTTAAGAACTTTCCAAAATACTAAAGTATTTTTTGAGTTATATAAAGCTTGAAGTCTACAATTTTTTAACATAAAAATGTAAAATATTTTTGCAAAATATTCTTAAATATTTAAATAATCTAATCTTAATACTTTTATGCATGGAATAATGAGAGACTAATCAATTGGTGTAAAGAAAACACACAGTTGCTTTTAAGAAAAAGTACGCAGCTGCAAATTACTTGTTTAAAAAGCAACTGTTTTTTTTACATGAATATATTGATTTGATTATTCTGTGTATAAAAGTATTAAGATATAAGACTATCGAAAACTGAAAGTTTCCCAAGATATTTTATATTTTGTCAAATATTGTAAACTTTAACAAAAATACTTAATTAATAAAAAAATAACTTAATAAAAATGTTTTTGGGGAATTTTCAAAATAAGCTGCAAGAATATGCTATAAAAATTAGAGATTCCATTTAAGAAATTGAAAATTTTTTTTGTCTCCTTCAAAATAATTATCTAAGATCAATCAATGGCACCATCTTATATGTCCCCCAAACAAACTTTTGTCTAAAACCTTTTTCTCTAAAATGTTTTTTTGAGCAGATATTCCCAGTGTATCCTTTTAAATGAGATATTTTGTTTACCTGAAATATCTCCGATTATTTTTAAAGATTACAATTTAAATGAAATATAATTTTTAATTTTTTAAAAATATATATTTTATGTTTTATTTATTTATTTATCATTTGTTTATTATTTATTTCATTAAATTTATTTTATTATTTATTTTATACTTATATAAATATATTTCATACTTAAATATAAAATACACATACACATAATAAAATAATACATAAATAAAATAATAAATAGTACAATAAAAATAAGAAAATAATCAATTCATTTACCTACTTTATAACTTTTAATATTGTTAGCCAAAAATTATGTACAGTTTAAAATTTTCAGAAAGACTATTTCTCATTATTTTTGGAAAATCTTATTAAAAATAAAATTGAATTTTTGAAATTTTAGTTTCAAATTTATTTTGCTTCTAACATTAGTATTATTAATTAGTACTTTTCAGTTAAATTATATACATTAATTATATATATATTTGATACGTAAACATTTTTGTAAAATATAAAATAATTTAGTGTCGTAAAGTGAATTTAAATAAGACTTATAGTAATTTTAAATCGTTTTTACAAATAATTGCAATAACAGCTAGTTTGCTTACACTAAAAATATCATTAAAACTTACTTTTTTGTTGTGATTTGTTGAGTCCCGCAGTTTATATCACCTTGTTTTTTATATTTCCTCGTTTTAAATATACATATATTGCATATATCCCATCTATATATGTATATATATATATATATATGTATACAATTTTCTTACTTCACAGAAATATTAGATCATGAAGTTGATAATAATGTTCTTTTTGTGCGAACGCTGTAACATATAATAATATTTCACATAAAAATACATATTTTTGATAAATTAGCAGCATATAAATATAGAATGTGCCATATACATACAAAATTATATATTATTAACATTGAGGTCTAAAATTACACATAATATAAACTTAAATATTTACATTTATATTTTTAACTGATTTGAAAACATTAATATATATTTTTATATATATTTGTTATTTAAATCAATGCAAAGATGTGATTATAAACTTTACATGTAATGTAATTAAAAAATTAAATTTTTAAAGTTTATAATTGTCATAAATAATTTTATGTCTGTACAGAACATTCTGTATACATACAAAGTGTTCCAAAAGTCATAAATTTAAAGCTCGTTAATCATGTTTTTAAGTAAAAAATGTCAATAAACTTATATTTGATTATCAATGTTACTGACATTCAAAACAGTTTTATTAATGCTAGGAATTCCATGATTCATCGTATTGTAATAACTCCATATAATAGTTCTGCTAATCAAAGATAAGTTTATATTGACATTTTTGACTCACAAAAACATTAACAAATCTTTAAACTTAACTGTATATCTTTTGGGACATCCTATGTATATTTTAAATCACATGTAAAGATAAACTATGAACGTAAAGATATAATTATGAAAGATATAAATATATGTATATGATAATAAAAAATCATATAAGATACGTAGCATTCCCTGTTGCTTCAGTATGATATAAACGGAATGAATTATATTGATGAGCTGTGTACATAAGAAATAAAAAAACAAGACAAAATGTAAAAGAAATATCAAAATGTTAGTTTTTTATTACAAATTATTTATACACACCTTGCTATACGCAATATTCCAGTTGTGTATGTGTGTCTTTCCTATGTAGATTGTTTGCAAAAATAAATTTATATTATGCTTTTTACATGGCAATACTGCAACACAGATAAGAATAATAAGTATTTTTAACCTTATTTAATAAACTTATGAGAAAATGAACTATATTGTGAGGTTAATTTGCATTTTTGAGGTTAATATCGTAATTATTAAGTATTAATAAAAAATATAATAAATAAAATTTAGCTTTTATAAAATACCTTTTATATTTAATTTATTTGAGAATAAGAAGTATTACCTGCGATTATAATCACAATCGTATCACAGACGTAGCAAAGAATTACACGTTACACGTTACACGTACGTCGTCAGTGAAGAAGAAGGAAAAGAC